TTCAATGTTTTGATGAGGAAGCCATCAAATTTAAGCTCAATTAACTAATTAATTAATTGCATTCCTTTGTAGTAAGCAAATTGTCTGACTAATATGCACAGCATGCGTAGTTCCATTCTGCTTTTATTTGACTATCCTTTTTATCTCTTATTACTTCCACGTTTTTGTAATATAATTTATGCAAGCCATTTTCCCCTAGAACTCCATAGGTCAATAGTGTGTGTATTTACAGATGCTGAACACAGCTTGTATAACTTGAGTGTGATGATTTGTGGTTTAATGTCTCTTGATCACAGAATCATGAAGGTTGGAAAAGAACTTAAAGATCATGTAGTCCAACCACCCACCTACCACCAATGTTGCCCACTAAACCGTGTCCCTTAGTACCACATCTACACGTTTCTTGAATGCCTCCAAGGATGTTGATTCAACTACTTTCCTGGGGTAGCCCATTCCAGTGCTTGACCACTCTTTTGGAGAAAATAATGTATATGCTGATGTGTCAATTGGTAGATACAAGAAGAAAGTAATAGCAATGTTAAAGCCACTGGCTGTAGCAAAGTGCATTTTCAGATGTTACGGAAGTCAGTAGTATGTTTAATCTTTGGAAGATCATCCCTGAATTCATTCATATGGAATGTGAATGGATTGTTGCTGTTTTGGTTTACTGGTAAATTTCCATGTTAAAATTGTCAGCTATGAAGTTTGCCTTTTTCAATTCCTATTTTCTGAAATCAGTTAGACTCCTCACTATCTTTATGCTTTAGAATATAGATTCAACAGACAGGCCAATCTAGTGCATTAATATTTAAACTGTTTTTGAGGTAACACAGCATCATGATAGCTTGCCGTGCGTTCATATCTAACTAGATATCGTTTGGCTTAAATTAATTCTGTTGGTTTAATTAATGCTGTTACTTTAATCCATTTAGAAAGAAAAACAAACAATCGAAGAAGGAAAGCATGATTGTATTAGATAAGACTACAGTTACAATATACCTTTCAACTTTCAGAAAAGCTCCCTGTTGTATGATTGATGCAGTGGTTATCCTGGTCTCCTTGGGACTCAGGCCAAAGTTTTTGGTAAATGTGGTTCCAATGGAGAAGGAAAACATTTAGTTTGGGGTGTTTTTTTTTTTTTGAGAATCACCCCATCCAACCATGAACAAATGGACTCTGAGTGTTTTGAATGTAAAAGTCAGTGGGAGCATTTGTCTTCACGTCTGCCACAAAACTTCTTGCTAAATTATCTGGATCTCTCTAAGAGTCAATACAAATTAAAAATACGCAAAAGGTTTCTAAGAGAGTGATTGCTATTCTAGCAAGTTCATTAGCCTTCTGAGGAATGCTTTTGGCAGGCTTTGTTTAGCAGAACTCCAAAACAAAGTAAACCAAAAATGTCAGGAAATGAATTGCAAATCACTTGGCAATATAGATGTGAGAACTAGGAGGTAGATGATGAATAATTTGGGAAAATGTATATTGCTCCTCCAGGAGTTTTAACTGCACAGAAGGGAACTATATCAAAGATTACAGCAGAGAAAGGGGAATAACTTTATTAAACGAATATGGGCAGCACTGCTTTTCCAAAAAGACTAGCTAAACCAGCCTATAGACACTGTTTAGTCTGAGGGGAAAAAAAGCAGTTCTGCAGCAAAGCTTTTTATTTCCAGCGCCCTGTATCTATCTTCATAGTGTGTTCAGCCTATCCTCTGAAAAATATACTGCTAAAATGAATCTTTCACTCTACTGTTGTGACACTAAGTTGAAGACCAGAAATAAAGTTCAGAGGAAGAAATTGCTCTTCTAAACTGGATAAGGGGCAATTACCTTGCATCTGCTTCCCTGGGAAAAGGAGGTTGGCAAGATTGAGTTAGCTGCAAGTGCGGTCACCTGAGCATCCCTAGGCAGCTGCTGCTAGGGAAGGGAAGAGGCTGCTCAACTCCAATTTAAGCCATTTTTTTTATAAACGTTGCATGCCACTTCTACTGTATTTTCCCTGGTATTTGAAGATTCGTTACAGAAACAGAGCAAAGCAAGAGTTATAACTCCCATAGCAAAACATGGAGGTGAATCTAACATGAGAGGATGGTAGATGACACAGGCAAGGCTAATGTGTTCCGTGCCTTATATTCCATCTTCACAGAAAGGTTAAATGTGACAAAAGGTTTAACATGTTCAGAATTAGTAAGAGAACAGGAATTCAAGGGAGGGCAGGGAAGGAATTGAATACTTAGGACCAGATAAGTCAGATTGAAGGTCAGTTTACAAGGTGAAATTGCTGGGCAATAAACTGAGTTTTGAGTTCATGGTTTGCTAGCTACTTTAACTCCTCATATAGAAAATCTTAGTGCAGAAGAGGAATTTAACATGGAACAGGTTAATAGGGCTTCATAGAGTTTACCCGAGCTTACTTAAAGATATGGTTTCCAAATGAGCAGTCATTAGCTTTGAGTACTCCTGAAGGACAGTGTCCTGAAAGACACAGTATATATCTTTAAATAAGGAAAAAAGGGAAAAGGAAAAGCAAGGTGATGGCAGCCAAGTGGGTATCTGGGAAGATACTAAGGCAAATTATTAAACAATAAACTCATAATCTCCTCAAGCAAAATGTAGTAAGCAGCCATTCTAGCCATCACAAGTAGGTGCAATTTTATTTTATTTTAGGGGGACTTCTGACATAGTTGGGGTAATCATGTCTCTGGGTCAGACTAAATCAGAAAGGAGATATTCCTGTCTAAGAAGCATTATCAAAGAGTGAATGTGTCAATAGCTTGCTGTCAAGATGGATACTCATAGGCCTTGACTTTTTTCTACTCTTCGTTACTGTCATTAACTTCTTAGGCAATGAGATGTCACGTTTTTTGAATGATATCACATTTGGAGGCAATACAATCAGGTTTAGAATGAAAAATCTTTTTGACAAGTGGGTGAAACAATTGGAAATCCATGAGACAAAATTAAGTAAAGATATAATAAAGGCTGTGCTAGCAAAGGAAGAGTCAACTGCATGGTTGCCAAATAGAAAATAAGCCATTAAGTAGAAGCAGTGTGGAGCAGTGAACTAGTTACAGTGCTGTAGCAGAAAAATGCAGATCTCTTTTTGTAAATGTATTGACAAGAGAGTTTGAAGCCAATGGAGAGACAGTTAGTGGTGTTCCTCAGCTGCATTGCTTCTAGAATTGGGAGAAATTGCAGAGATTTAGACATGAGCAGCAGAAATGGGTTTGACGCCTGATTGGTTTAAGTTGAGGAAAATGAGAGAAAATCAGGGAGGGGTGATTGCATTTGTCTTCAAACCTCTAAATGTGTAAAATGCCTTAAATCTTGTTCAATTTATTCACTTACAAATTAACTATTGGGAGGGCTGTCCTGCCAGCATTTCTGCAGTAATAAGGACATGAGTTCCTATGTTAGCTATTTAGTGTAATCAGTGCTAGTTAATAAGCATTATCATCTCTTATAATTTTTAACTTCTTAGAGGGGTAGCTTGTTTGATTGCATATCGCCATGTAATTTAAACAAGACACCACTAAACCCATCAGTTTTATGACTAACTTTGACATTTGCACTAAGCAAAGCTCACAGATTGAAGGAAACCTGTTAATTCTCTTTTATTCAGAACATTTCCTTCCTCACATCAAAGCAATGCACGTTCATATCAGTGCTGCCAATCAGTATTTCTGCAGAATGAGCTGTGAAACTGAAGAGTGCTTCAAACAGTCTTGTAAAAATGTGAGATGAATCATTGCTAGAGAGCTGTGAGTTTACATGTATCATTGATGGCTTTCCATTCTGGACATACATAATATGCAAAGTCTTTTTCTACTTTTTTTTTCTTCCAGTAGTGATTTGCTGTGTAATAGTTTATTCATGTGAAAAAGGAAGCCTGGTATTTGATTTAATATTTTCTGTGAAGTGCAACAAAGTTCCACTTCGTTTGTGAATGGAAAATATCATACTTGATACTTTCACAGCTAAAATAATGCTCCAAAACATCCCCAATAATCTCAGTCTGGCATTTCTAAAAGGCAACTCTCAGCCTCTGAAGGGAAAGTCCTTTGGGTGCAAAGACCTGCAGATAATAACTCTTTTATCTTGGCTGCTTCTTGCATTTGTTTGGACTTCTCCCATTAATTCATTGGTAAAATGCATGCCATATTTTCCTACTGCACAGCCAACCTGTTTGATAGATTTATATATATATATAAATATATAAATTTATATATATATATAAACATAAAATTGAAATACTGACTCATCTTATCTACATCAGCTGCATATCAGTATTGATATAGGAGCTATAATTTAGTAAGAAGATGTACTTGTTAAGAAAATCCATTTAGAACTTTAATTATGATATTAAAATCTAATTATTGTTAACAGAATAAAATGACTATCTGAATAGATTTTGCTGCTATCTCTGATACCCTGATGTAACTGAAAGGAAAAGATGATGGTTTTTTTTCCTAGCCTTTGCATATAGGTAAATGAGAGGGCAGTCTGCCATTTTAAAAGCTGGAGATTGGCGAATGACTTCACGTTGGAGCAAGTGGCTGGTTGAGGAAGGCAGTAGGGATGAAGAACTGAACAGTGTCTGGTGGTGAGGGTCAGTTGCAATTCAGAGAAAGTTCCAGGCTCGAGCTTGACTGCATCCAGGGACATCTCTTCAGGATATGCTCTGCAGATGATTAGTGGATTTAGGCAGGAGAACTGTATTAAGGATGAGCCTAAGTATCAGAATAGACACAGCTTTTTAAGGTTAGTATTTGAAGGATTAAACAGTTCCTTAAGGGAGAATTTTGTACAGGACTTGGATGCAGGGTTAGTTGGCAGCTTAGTGGTCATTAAACTTACTTTAAACAATTTTATAACCTTATTTACATCTTCCATAAGGTTACTAAGACTTTAATCCTTTTTCCTGTAAACTATTTCAGTTACAGTCAGCTATTTTTGTCCTTCTTGCTATAAGAATGCAGTGTTTTTGGCTGATACCTTACCTTCTTTCCACATGCTGACCCAGTATAGCCACTTCTGCAAGCACATACATTTGGTTTTATGCATCTGCTTCCAAACAGACATTTTTGCTCACAAATTGCTATAAGTGAAAGATAAAATTGTTTAGAATACATTTGTTCTAAATCTTGTAATTAGAAGGGAAGTGCTCCGATGCGTTTGAAAATGATACAACAAAGATGTGACAAAATATATCAAGGTTCTCTAGTTTCACATGATGGAGAAAAGGACAAAAAGACTTTCAGGCAATAAAAAAATGTTTGCCATGGGCTTTTTCATGCCTACGTGTCTGTTACATTTACAATTTTCCTTCTTTATTTTTACTCCTCACTGATGGGGAAAGAGAAGTGTGTGCCAAAGTAACCACCTTAGCTCAGCAGAAAATGGGTCAGAAAAGCTCTGATCTGGAAAGCCAGGATACATTCTGGGCTCTGACGGCTGGGTCAGATTTGTGCCAAAATTGATTTTCTTTTGTTCCATGTGAAATAAAATAACAGCTCTTAAAAGGACCTTCTTGATTTGAGATGCAAAGATTTGTTAAATATTTACTCCCCAGAGTGGTTCTTTTACAACAAATAAAAGGGAGAATTTCCAGCATGACTCAAAACACTGGAATCCAGGGTGTGTAATTTCATGTCCCACAGAATCAGTAAGGGAATCAGAAAAACTTTTTTAATCTTATCTAGACTACCATTTATATTTGCAGACATTCTGTTAATAAAAGAATCAGTGCTCTTTATCTTTTTTTAATAGATAAAAAGAGATAATCAATAGACTTAGTCAAATTTCTTCCATTTTTTTTCACCCCAATCAGCAGTTTATGACATTGTTTTGGCATGGAGGAAAGAGATCAACCAATTCATAGGGCAGCAATTCAAGAACACATCATAGGATCTTATTTAAATCTTATGAGTTAAACCTTCTGTAAGTATTGCCAAATAAATATCAGCAAGTGAATTCTTTTATTTTCTTGCCTGGGAGACCGATATAGAAAGCTGCTAACCACACACTAGTAAGATTACATATAAATTATTTGTCATTATCTGTCAATAAAGCATATGACAACACTTGTCTATGTTCCAATACCATTAGATGTGAAAAAGTTTAACGTATCCCTGCAGGGGACTTTTCACAAAAAATCAATAAATTGAAGGGATAAAGAAACAAAATCTGGAATTTCAGTTCTTCGGTCTTAGGATCCGATTTTTGGCACAGGTTTAAGCTCATACAAATTCTTTCTGTTGCAATCTGAAGTCTCAGAGATAGAATAGACCATTGAAATTACTTTGGAAAACACACAGTGGCTTCCCAAGCCATCCAAATGTGATTCTCTGAGGACAGTTATAATAATGCTATAGTGACCTTGGAAGGCTGGCCACGAGCTACAAAGACTCACCTCCTTGTGGTTGTTTAAAAAGAACATCTTGTAATTTTGCTGTCTTTGTCTACTGAAAATAGGTTGTCAACTCTATCAGATTACTGTGACAGCCAACACTCTGTATGAAGGTTGGGATTCTGCCATACTAGGGAATACTAACATTTAAATTTATATTCTGAACATCAGACGTAGAGCTAAGGGAAAGAGGAATGAAGAACAAAACTTACTGCTAATCCATACATCCTAAAAATAAGAGGCTGTACAGCCTGGTAAGCTGCTGGTCTTGTGAGAGCAGCTAGATAGTGAACTGGAAAAATCTGAGTGTTTCATTCATGGGAATAAAGCAGTTCCCACTTTCTGCTAGGGAGTGTATTCTCAGCATAGGAGTCTCTTCAAGTTGTGTTTCACTTTACAGTGGATTTTGTTCTAGAAGAGAGACAATTATGTATGATGTTACTATGTATAACCTGATGTGAATTTGAGCACAGGTAAAATGGATATTGATTATCTTGTTGGTAGTTCCTATAATAAAAGCAGGTAAGGAAAAGAGTAGTCTGATATGGAGATCCCTAAAGCTGGTAGGGGTATTCTCATATGCAATGATAGAAGGGCAGGTATTAGATAAGGTACCAGGCTTTTTTCCATTTGTGGTTTCTTTGATTTTCAGATGATTCAAACAAAACAAAAAAAGGAAAAGATTTCCTCCTTTTTTATCCTTTCCTATCTGCCTGTCTCTCCCTCTCCACCCACTGCTTCCTGCAGTTAGTGCTCAGAAAGGAGAAAAGTTAAAAACATTTTGGGAGAAAATTGGAATTGAAATCACAGAGGATAATAACATAGCTGAAGTTTAAATGAATATTTCATAAAAGTATTTACAAGGGATGCTAAGCCTCTAAACACTAAAAATGACACAGTCTGTGTATGCATTATCCTGTACAGATTCAGCAAAGAAAGTCATTTAGTAAGCTAAGCTTATGATAAAATTATAATCAATAAATGCCCATTACAGAAGGAGATTTATCCCTGAATGTTAAAAGAACAGAGCTATAATTTGCATGCAAATGACAATCTTTCTTACAAGTTTTCTTTTTTTTAAGAATTGAAAGGGTTACATAGGAAAACTAAAAGCAAGCCTGTCTGAGATGTTCAAGACAGAGGGAGAGAGAATGAGCTCGAATGCTGAGGAAACTATAAGGCTTTAAGCTTGACACTTATAACATGCAAATAAAGAGAAGATATTCTGAAGGGCAAATGAGAAGCCGGTATGGGTTCAATAATATTAGAACAGAAGACAGCAGCATGAATTTTAATGATGAAGATCCTTCACAACTATAACCTTCTTATATTTTATAATTAATTATTAGAATTATACCTTGATCCTGCACTCTGATCCTTAACAGACTTATATCCTTGGCCAAAAGCCTGCTGACTTTACTGGCTCGTGTTTTGTCTAAATCTGTCAGGGCAGTCAGATTGTACCATCAGGTCTTCACTGCTTTGGTCTAATAGTTCTTTTCTAGCTTAAGAAAAAGAGAGATATGAGTTAACACCTCAGTAGGGAGGGAGAACCCACAGGCATGGGGCTTTAGAATGGGTATCTGGTCTGAGATGGGAAGGAAATTATTGATGGGGAAACATGGTGATACTGTGTTTTCCAAGAGGGAAAGTGCTGCTGCTATGAGTCTACGAAGCTGCTCCTTTCATATTTCAAATGGCATCTTTTAGCCTGTTTTACTGAAATGTAATTTCCCTACATCTGCAAGACTGTCTGGAACTTGACCATTACTCCTTAAACTATGACCATCAAAGGCATAAGAACTTATCAAGGGTATGTGTGTATTCCACAGCACGCCGTATTTGTTGGGACAAATGACCTATTTTATTGATTCTCTTTCAGAAGCTATTCTGTGCAGTTACAGATGAGCAGGGAAGAAAACCATTCTCTCTGCTGACCTCTTTATTTGCAGTCTGATAAAAGAGGACTATTGGATTTTGTCCATTACTGCTGAAACAATGTCTCCTGAAAGTCTCTTTTACCTACTCTTACTCTTGCCAAATTCTGCAGTATAGTGGTAGCCAGAGACTGGTAAAACTGTAAGAGAAATAGCCTGCACAGACATCTCTGGAATGTCACTGAGTTTGACTGATCGTAGCATTGAGAAATTCATAATTCACCACATTAAACGAAATGAGATTTCATTGCACATCATTGCAGAAGAGGCAAAGTATTTGCCTGCATGATTGCACCTCCAAAATGCAGCAGACCTGTTCCAAATTAGATACAAGCTTCGTAACGTATGGTGCTACATCTGAAAACAGAGTTCAGTCTTGCTCTCTGAAGCATTTTCAAAATACTGTAGAGATAAAATTATTCTGACTTGGACAGTGCCAATCTTCATTGCAACAGAACAGAAAATCTGCTCTGGGTTACTGTCAATGTATCGTTTGCTGAAAGGCTGAAGGATTTTTGACTGTCACTTCTAATACAGATCTATGTACTTCTTTCTGGGTGAAAGTTGGCAGGAAAATAGAAGGCATCGCTATTTGCACTTGGAAGTACTTAATTATTAGGGGCCTAAACTAGAGAAATGTCATCTTTTGCTTTTTCGGGTTTTACAGAAGACTGGGAGGAGGAGATCTAGGGAAGATTTTATTGTGGCAGCTATATCTACTGCTGCCTCCAAACAGCCTGAGCAGTTCATGTAAGCCTGGGCCATCTCTGTCATCTTGATAAGGGCAGCTGCATGAATTAATAGGCTGAAAGCAGAGAATGAAACTGGGATTATCTGTGTCCCTCCTGTGCCTGAACAAGTCCCAAGGTCACAAACCAGCCCAAATTCCTTCTGGATCATAGGGGAAGGTACAGTGATCGCTGGAAAAAGTTAGCTGGAATTTCACTTGTGTAAGGAAACTGACTTTTTGCTCTATTAAACCAAAATTATACGCACATAATTGACTCACATAAAATATTTTGTTGTCAAGGGAGTGTCAGAAGCAGGGGAACCTTGCAGGCTGAAATTCATGGACAAAGTAGTTTGCACAGGGAAGTAGTACAAGGAGTGAAATACCCCTTTGCAGAAACACAGTGGTTCTGGCAGAGGGCATGGATTTTGCCCACTGATGGTGGGCAGTGCTGGGGTGAGTTCAGACAGATTAATACACTTCTTTTCACAGCGCTCTGGATTTGGGTGGTTGGATTCCCACGTTAAAATACAAACCCAGACTTGCTTTTAGGGGTTACACTTCTGTGCAAAACTTTATACGTAACATCTGTGAGGATGAAGACTTTCTTGTTCCCCCGCTTCCTCCCTGCCTCTTTGTGAATACCCTGGAGCAACGTTATAAGACATAACCATCTGCTCTCTGACTACAGTCTTCTATTCCTCTATTTAAAAAATAGTGAAATTCCAACCATTTTGTGGTTAATCTGGGTTTGTTGTGAGAGCTCAGAGTTACCAGCATCTCCTTTTGGGCACAGAGCTGATTTAATTGCACACTACAACAGAAACAAGGGGGGAAAAAAAAAAGCAGTAAAAACAGGGTGACTATCAAGTGAACAGATCTAGAGGAAATATTCAAAGGAGCTGATTAAATAAATGAAAAATGGCCCAGGCTTGTGTGCCTGCATTGTGCAGCAGAAATGGGTAATGACAGTAAGCCTTACTTGCCTTGCATGGGAGCAAGCATGATTTGTTTATTTATTTAATAAACTGACTCAGGAATATATCATCAACTAATAAATAACTTTAAACATTACAATGTTTGAACTAGCAGACAGCTGGCACAAAGAAACAATTACACAGCCATTGGGATTTAACTGACAAAAGATTTCCATAAGTAATTACGCTCTGTGAGTGTGAGAGGAAAGAAAGATTACCCTTTAGAAGGGATATAATGCCTTGATATTTTCCTCGTGACCTTTTACTGTAAAACTAATAACACACACACACTGCAGTGACCCTGCATGCAATGGGCAATAACGGATCTCTTCCTACTCCAAGTTTTCCACTCCCCACACATACAAAGCCATCTCAGTGGTCAGACCAAATGTGTAACATGTGCAGGGTTGGACTCTGGGTTAGCAGGCACATAGAACTTCTGTCTGTGCTTAATACCATCTGGATATGCTGAATAGGATATTGCATTTCCTATTGTCCCTGACCCTCTTTTTTTTTTTTTTTTTTTTTTTTTAATATAGCCTTTCAAATCACTGAGTTTAAAATCTACTTTTTTCTGATGGAAGTAAAGGATGAGTCTGTGCTCATAGCAATAGCTTTACAGCATACAACACTTCTGACAAACAAGAGGCATAATTTACGTGCTATCGTCCGATTGTTGCCCTTTCCATGTAAGATAAGCATAGCAGAAAAGTGGATGTGTGAATATCTCTGATGCAACACGTATGGCTACAAGCCTGTGATAATGGGAGCAGCACTTACGGGTCTGGCACAGCATTCCCACCCATCCTTCAGGGCACTCGCAGATGTTTGGACCTATACATTCTCCACCATTCAGGCATTTCTGCAGGCAAACAGCTGGACAGAGTGACACGAGACAAGTGAGAAGATGTAAACAACATATCCAGATGTTCCAAAGCTGTCTGAAATAATGACCTGCAAAGTTTTATTTCATCTGGCTAATTTCCAAAGGAATAGATGTGCTCTCTTCATCAGAGAATTTGTATTTAGGAATCTTTGATATTTGCTTCTTAAGAAATGTATCTTTGATGACTGCCTTCTGGTAGCTTGGCTATTTCTAATGTTCAGCTCTCTATCAGTTGAGAATACTCTCCATATGATATGTTCATCTGGTATATTCATGTGTGTTAGATGCACATAGCAAATTCCACATTGCAAATAAGTAATATCCCACAGAAGGATTTGGTATATTTATTATCTATAGTATTTCTTCATGGATCCCAAAAAGTAAATGCATGTTTTCATGTGCACACATGAGAAACATATTTCCTGCATCGTTTCTGAAGAAATTATAATTTCAAAACACTGGTTCTGAAATCATACTTAATATTAGGATCCAAAGATTAAATATCCTGTATTTTAACCTGGTGTACTTATAGCATGTCATCTGGATTATAAATTTATTCAGTTTAACTGTCAACATCATGGTAACAAATAGCCACATAAGGAAAAATACTCCTTGAAAGAGTATTTTAGAGTGAGAGGTTTTTTAATTCTGTTTTTATAATGGTAAGTCAGATATGGTGGAGTTACAGACTGAGAGCACATCTTTCCTGAAATTATGCACCGAAATGTAGCTGGTGACCTTGAGAGTACATCAGTTGGCAAGGCTTTACAGCAGGCTTTAAGTAGTTCTGTATCTTGAAATATATGACATTTCTCTGTAAAAATACAGCAAAATATGTGAAGGTATTAAAACATAAAATCAATGCTTCGAGTTTAATACTATAAAAATGAATTTCCGTAACAAGATGTATAAGAGATACATAAAGCAGAGCCAGGGTTCCCCTACAAAGCTTTCTTCCTCTGTTTGCAGCAAAATGCTGATAGCATTTTGTATTGCCTTTGATTGAAACCGTTTTTCTTCAAACTGCTGAAGGAGCAAAACAAATTATATTCACTATAGTGTTTTTTAATATTAAGACAAGGTTACAATTGATGTTGACTGGCCTAAGTAATGAGCAGTGATCTGTTTGATGGACAATAGAAATGCTTACGTTTATTACAGTGCTTTCCTCTCCAACCAGATGGGCAGTCACAGATATTTGGGCTTACACATTTCCCTCCATTCATGCACACAGGATCACAGACACCTGCAGATATATAGCAAATGAAGAACACAGTAACTGGAGAAAAAAAGGAAGATTTTACTAAAGACTTCCTTGCATCTTAAAGGCTGTGGATGAATGCCCCTTCCTGGAGGCATTCAAGGCCAGGCAGGATGGGGCTGTGAGCAACCTGGTCTAGTGGGTGTCCATACCTATAGCAGGGGATTGGGACTAGATGGTCTTAAAGGTGCCTTCAGCCCAAACCATCCTATGAGCTGCCTCACTAGTAAAAGAGAGAGGCATTACTCATGAGGATTCTCTGGAAACCATTAAGAACTTTTCTGTAGCAGCTGTGGACGCGCCAAATATTTATTAAAGCTTTTCCTTCCTGATTGAAAAGCATATTCTCAGGTGTATGTTTGGATAAGAAAGAAGGATAAATTGGCTTTATTCAATTTTGGGACATTTTTTGCATTCAATCTAACTTGAAGACTAAATAGATCTATTATTCTGTGACCTTTTTGTACTAGTATTTGTTAAAGTACTTATGTTTTTATAATGCTCATTCATATGAGTAAGATGCTCAGTTGATTCTTCCAGCCAGAGGAAACCTGATGACTTTTTGCTAGATTTCATTAAGAATTACGATTGCTAATTTTTGCACGTCCTATCAGACCTTGTCTTTATGAACACCTCATGGTAAAGTCTCTCTGTTTTGGCAAATCAAAGATCTGCAGTCCCAACAAAGCAAATCCTGTGACTGTGATGTTTAGATAGAGGTAGATGCTCCATGCAGGAACCCAAAGTTCCCATCTACTCTTTCTCCTTGAATCTTAGAGTAACTGGAGGAAGTAAGTATGAGTGGTGGTGCAGTTGAGAGATATGACAGTGCTGGCATGATGGGAATAGAAATGATTTACCTTTTATGTAGAAGCATGGAAGAAGGTGTTTGTATTTGATAACTGAGTGGAAGAGAGGAAAGCAGTGTCACCTATTAAACAGACTGGGGAATGAAAGTCAGGAGGACTCTGACAAGGTTTTGAGAATACACTTCTGTGGAATGGCTCCTGCTCTTTTTTAAGCTTTATGGGCACAGTGGGATTTTGCAGTGTCCCATTGCTGCCAGCGACAGTTGGCAGCAGTTCTACCTGCACACAGAGCTTCTCCAGGCACTGAGGGGGCTGGCATTTAAAATGTAGCACCGTGGTAGCTGTGTTAGCCTTGAGATTGTGATATGACTTTTGGCACAGCAGCAGTAAGTCAAGTCTTCACTGCTGATGCTGTAGTAATTCTGGTTTTCATGATATCTCGCTGTACAGAGCTCTGAAAGTACTGTAACACACCCAGAGCTCAAAATAGGAATTATGTTTAAAAAATAGCATGCAGATAAAACCAACCAGTGTTATCTGGTGGGAGAATGATCTTTTGTTCCTCTCTTAGGCATATGATCAGGTATCTTTAGATAAGCAGTTTTAGATTCCCTGATTATCCCTCAGAATATCTATGGCAGTGAAGAATGTGATGCACTGGATCATTGTTTTTGTGGCTTCTTGTGTCCTGATCACTTGCTCTGTTCCTTCAGTGCAGATGAGGCACTGGCAGCTGTAAGAGCTCCATGGCTGCTCTTACTTGGCTGCTACATTTGCATTTTGCTCTGTGCCAAAGCTCACAAGTCTCTCAGCATGGTGACCTGCCCTCAGGCAGGTCAGACTTACCCATGCTTATAAGGGCTGCTTGGACTCAAGCCCTAAAACTGTCATCTTCTTTTTCCTTCTTTCTCCATTTCACCTGATCCATGCTGTAATCTTGGCATCTGCTTACTAAGGCTAAGAGGGATCTAGAGTTCTTGCTGAACTCTCAAAAAGTGCTGCAACGCCAGTCAAAACCTAGATGAATTTAAGGAGTTATGACAACTGTAACTCTGAGTTCATCTTTTTTCCCCCCTTCTCTCCTTTTTTTTGATCTCTTGTCACCCATAACAGACTTCTGACATTCAGTTTTATATTGTGCTGTGTTTGGCTTCTCGTTTCAATTATAAAACAGCTCAGATATTCACTATTTAGAAAACTGACCCCAAACCATAAGTCTCAGATCTAGATTTCAAATAACCTTCAGCTTTATGATACTCACGGACCACAAAGTCCTCATAGCTGACCTGCTGTCCCAAGATCACATTGCTGAAATCCATGGATTTCATCTGGAGATCAGAAGAAACGTGGACCCTATCCAAGCTCAGTGGTACTTGTTCAAAAAGAGGTTTCTATTTTTTTTTTTTCCCTTTAAATTTTTAAAATTTCTTTTAAACTTTTCACCTAATACAAAACATTGCACTGTTTTCCTGTGGTATCTGAGATATTCTATGACAGTAGATGCTTCCTTCAGTTACAGGGAGTCTAACTATTGTGCTTTTTGATTCAGTTTTAGTTTTCAGTTTTTATATAAGTGAACTTGTTGCAGCTCAGTTTGCCTTGTAATTCAGTAAAACTTTAAGTAACAGGGGAGGTCTGGTCTTGGTCTGAGTAAAGCATTACAGTTCAAACAGATTTTCAACTTGGGATCTATTTCTCTCGTTCAGCTGCCTTACAAATGAACAAGGAACCATGAAAATAGAGCACTAACTTCTTTAATGTTGCTTATTGCACGCAGCATCTCTCACTTTAGGCAATAAATCCGAGGAAGTTCAATTCCAACAGAACTAAGAGAAGAACTTAAGTGGGAAATGTAAGCTCAGGGCCATACCTGGTTGGACAGGCACTCTTGGCTCTCTGCCTTCCTGGGCAGACAGTTTCTCAACGTGATGGGGAATACACAAGGCACCTTTATGTAAATGCATGCAGTGTTATCTCCCCTCCTTTTCTGTCTGACATCTCTACCTTGTTCTCCCTTTCTTTGACTTTCTTAAATACAATTCCATCTCAATACCCATCAGGCAGACTTCAACATTTGTTGATTATAACTAGTTCTGATCCTTTCTAGTCCCACTCCTTGGCCTCTGTGGAGGAGCTCCAATTTCAAAATAGCAAACAAAAATGTTACAGCCTCTCACAGGAAAACTAAATAAATTATCAGACACTAGGAGAGCAAATTGAATTATCGTAATCCTCCCAGGCACTGGCATGACTTTGAAAAGTCTCACATTTTTTCCCTCTCCTCCCCTTGAAAAATGCCTAGCATCTTGACCCAAAGACAACAGGGGTTTGATATGTTTTCCACCTGACTTGGGAACCAGCCTTAACGGAATGGATGAAAACACATTTGTGTCTTCTCTTTGTTGCAATTTGATAGGGCATATCACTGGGGGTGGAGAGAGCCTTGTTCTGTCTAAGTGCAAGCTTGCTAGCAGTCAGCAAGTATCACTAAAGCCCTAATCCCATTCCTTGTGGTGTCAACGTCAGCATTTCTATGCTTTTCAGTAAGAACTGAAGCACAGAACTTTGCATGCAGTAAGTGTTACTCAATTCTATAAAGAGTGTGAAGGCCACTATTTAAAACTTCCATAATGTGATGTTTTTTTTTAAAACTGGGAAGTTAGATAAGGTAAGCCTGTGTTGAAGGTTAAAGTAAAAGCATGATTACTTGCTGTATTTCAGGTGAGGGTTGATTTGATAAAGTAACAGGTGGCAGCAGGTGTTAAGATAAAACGGGCATTGTGTAGAACATTGTACAGAATGTACGCAGTTCCACTTGTACTAAATGGGACTCACCAGTTGCTAAGTTTCTGTCGTACAGTTATTTCTCTTTGATGCCTTTAGAGCACTTTGACCTTACAATCACTTAACATTTCCTGTGACCCTTTGTTTAGCGTATCCTCTCTAGGCTGGCCTCACCCAATGAAATGCTTCTTGCAACTCTTTTTATCATGGAACTCCACAGTTAGCTGTTTACCTCTAGGTAGCTAGCCTCCTGCTTTGTCAGCCAAAGAGAAGAGTTTTATTACAAAATAATTATTTCCAGAGATTACTAAAAATCTATGGAAAAAAAGTTAAATGTTGTCCCTAAAATCCAGGAGGTACTTCTGATGTAAGTAACATCAGCAATGGACACCTACAGTTCCAGCATCTTCCTTTGCACTTCTCACAATAAATTGACAATAAACATTCCCTTAAAGCACAGAATCATAGAATCCTTAAGGTTGGAAAGGAACTCCAGGATCATATCGTCTAACTGCCAACCCATCCCTACCATGCCCACTAACCATGTCCTTCAGTGCCACATCCAAGCTTTTCTTAAACACCTCCAGGGACGGTGACTCCACCACATCTCTGGGCACTTCTCTGCAGCATGCATAGTATTAAGCAAAATATCCCTGCTATGCAAAGTGAAGGGATGTGATTATGGTATGCTTTTCTGCATACACTATAAGCAATTAAGAGCAATGTCTTGTTCAAATGGTGACAGTATCAATCAAAAGTCTCATCAGTCTACAGTGATTAACAGAAGCCAGATATTTCCTTCAGACTCTCATTTTTCACTATGCATTAGCAGATAAACAACATTTCAGGTTGAACCCTAGCTACCTTTCAATGCAAGTACCCCACTGGACCTTTTTAACTAGAGATGGATAACAATAAGTAGTGAAAAGCTTGCAATTTTGTCAAATGTCTTCATCACTGCCCTTATAATGTCAAAACAGAGGAGATATTAAATCAGGCTCCCAAAATCTTAGCAAAATAACATTTTCTGAAATGTTTCAGGAGTACCCTGTGGTGCAGCTGAACATCCACATCCTTCCCTGACAGTATGAGTGCCCTGACTTCTTCTTTCTGAATCAAGAATTACCTGTCATCGTGTATCCTGAGCCAAGCTGCTGATGAGGAGACAATGTGTCACACTGCAGTGCTGATTAGAAGATGTAGTTTTCAAGATAACTTTTTTTTTTTTTTTTTTGCCCTGTAGAAGCTGACAAAATTGACCTGTTTCTGAATGCATTCTGCCTTTGTATGGAAGAGAGAAAATAGCCTCAAGCAGTAACATCTGTGTGGGCCAGCTAAGGTAATGCATCAGGCTACATCTTCACTGACAAAGAACACAGAAAAGTGGCCAAA